CCGCCACCCGCCACCCCCAAGCCGCTCTGTGCTGTTTGATTAAACTGGTCAACAATTCATGAGATTTATTCTGCAGAGTCAGTGGCGACCTCCGGGGGGACGCACAGCGCGACGGATCATACGGCAACAAGCCGCAATCCGAGCGACAGCCCCCTCCCCAACCCGCCCCCCCAATCTGGACCTCACCGTCCCCCCTTTCCTTTTACCTTTCCTTTCCCGCCGCCCCTCATCAGCCACTCTCACGTTCTATTAGGGGGCGACACAACGCGCGTGCAACCATGTGGAGCAATCTCATCACGGCGAGCTATTTACTCATTTACCAGCCTTGTTTCCCGCCCCTCTTTCGTGTTTTAGGACACACACACTCTAGGCCGCGCCCCTGTCGGCCCCTTGGGGTTCCTGGCGCGGCTCCTGGCCCGGCCCCAACTCACCTGTTCCTCGCGGAGCTCGCGGCGCGCACGAGCACCTCCCCACTGCAACGCCGAAGGGGCTGCCCGAGGGGCTGCCTCCTCACGGACACCGAGGGGACCACGACTTCGGAAACTCACCTGTCAAACAAAAATTAGTATTCAATAATTTATTTGTCGGTATTTCGATAGTCACTAACATTCGTGAATTACCAAGTATAATCTACATTTGACTTTGTTTTCTCGATTATCCGGTTCTCCAAAATTCTCGAATATTCAACTATTATTGGATATTTACTTTCGTGGGACACAAAATCTCCGAGCTTTTTGAACACCTCGGTGGACACTCCCGGACACGCCATCCCGTCACCAAACTGTAAGCTTAAAAGTATAGGAAACGAGGCAAAATGTATTCTCTAGCACTTCCGTACACTGTATTGGCGTGACAAAGGACTTTATAAGGCACTTTACAGTCCCCGTGTTCAACGCCTCTCCCCACCCCCTCCCCTTTCCATATCAGTCTATTGTGCCTGCATAATTCAGACCTGGGAGAGCCCCCCCGTGGAAAAGTAGTCGGAACCATCCGCCGCGGCGAGCCCGGCCGAGTCACGCAGAGGAGCGACAGAAAACAAAAGCAAATTGCCCAATTCGGTTGACACGGCGCAGCGCTACCCCTCCGCCCGCCCCTATCTACCGCCGCGCCACGCGTCCCTCAGGCCCCCGGCTCACAACTCCGAGCGGGAAAAGAGAACAACGAAATACGCCCCTGGCTTGAGTAAAGACGAAATTTCAAAATGTTTGGCACAAAAAATAATGAATGCGTGTTGTTGTAACCGGGAGGCGACATCATATGGATTTGAGGAAGGAAAAGAGAGTAGAGAGGAAAGGTGGGTGGGGGAGGGGGGGAAGAGGGGGAGGGTTTTACTGAACGGGCTCAAGAAGAGTCCCCGAGGTCACAAGGGCAGAAAGAGAAGAAGAACCTCGCCGCCGCTAGTCCGTGTTGGTTTCCGAATCTTGATAAGAACGTGAACTACTTAGCGTCCGACCCAGGCCGGCTCACCGGGGCAGTTAGCGAGCTCTGGAGGGCTGTTTTCGGCCACGCACCCTTTCCCTCCCCTCGGCTCCGCCCGGCCCCCGCGCGCCCCACTTCCCTCCCTGAGTGCTCTGAAATACGAGCCCGGCTCGGACGCCACCGTGGGCTCCGATCGGGCCCCGGTTACATCCTCTGTCGCAGACTGTACTTGGAAGGGTGTGAGGGAGGGAGGGAGG